CAATAGATGCAGAGGAGGCCTTTGACAAAATTCAACAGCCCTTTATGCTAAAAACTCTCAATAAATTAGGTACTGATGGAACATGTCAAAATAATAAAAGGTATGTACGGCAAACCCACAGGCAATATCATACTGAATGGGCAAAAACTGGAAGCATTCCCTTTGAAATCTGGCACTAGACAAGGATGCCCACTCTTACCACTTCTATTCAATATAGCATTGGAAGTTCTAGCCAGAGCAATCAGGCAAGAAAAAGAAATAAAGGGTATTCAATGAGGAAGGGAGGAAGTCAAATTGTTTCTGTTTGCAGATGACATGATTGGATATTTAGAAGACCACATCATGTCAGCCCATAATCTCCGGAAACAGATAAGCAACTTCAGCAGTGTCAGGATACAAAATCAATGTGCAGAAATTACAAGCCTTCCTATACACCAATAACAGGCTTAAAGAGAGCAAAATCAAGAACAAACTGCCATTTACAATTGCTAAAAAAAGAATAAAATACCTAGGAATACAACTAACAAAGACTGTAAAGGATCTCTTCAAGGAGAACTACAAACAACTGCTCAACGAAATAAGAGAGGACAGAAACAGATAGAGAAACATTCCATGCTCATGATCTAGGAATAATCAATATTGTAAAAATGGCCATACTGCTCAAAGCAATTTATAGATTCAACGCTATCCCCATCAAGCTACCAATGACCTTCTTCACAGAACTGGGCAAAACTATCTTAAACTTCATATGGAACCAAAAGAGAGCCCATATAGCCAAGTCAATTTTAAGCAAAAAGCACAAAGCTGGAGGCACTACGCTACCTGACTTCAAACTATACTACAAGGCTAGAGTCATCAAAACAGCATGGTACTGGTACAAAAACAGAGATATAGACCAATGGAACAGAACAGAGGCCTCGGAGGCAACACAACATATCTACAATCATCTGATCTTTGAAAAGCCTGATAAAAATAAGCAATGGGGAAATGATTCCCTGTTTAATAGTGTTGGGAAAACTGGCTAGCCATATGTAGAAAGCAGAAACTGGACCCCTTCCTGACACCTTACACTAAAATTAACTGCAGATGGATTAAGGACTTAAACATAAGACCTAACACCATAAAAACCCTAGAGAAAAACCTAGGCAAAACCAGTCAGGACATAGGCATAGGCAAGGACTTCATGACTAAAACACCAAAAGCATTGGCAGCAAAAGCCAAAATAGACAAATGGGACCTAATCAAACTCCACAGCTTCTGCACAGCAAAAGAAACAATCATTAGAGTGAATCGGCAACCAACAGAATGGGAAAAAATTTTTGTGATCTACGCATCTGAGAAAGGGCTAATATCCAGAATCTGTAAAGAACTAAAACAATTTACAAACAAACAAACAAGCCCATTCAAAAGTGGGCGAAGAATATGAACAGACACTTAACAAAAGAAGACGTTTATGCAGCCAACAAACGTATTAAAAAAAGCTCATCATCACTAGTCATTTGACAATGCAAATCAAAACCACAGTGAGATAACCATCTCATGCCAGTTAAGAGTGGTGATCATTAAAAACTCAGGAGACAACAGATGCTAGAGAGGATGTAGAGAAACAGGAAGGCTTTTACACTGTTGGTGGGAGTGTAAATTGGTTCAACCAACTGTGGCAGACAGTGTAGCGATTCCTCAAGGATCTAGAAATTGAAATACCTTTTGACCCAGCAATCCCATTACTGGGTATATATCCAAAGGATTATAAATCATTCTCTTGTAAAGACATGCACATGTGTGTTTACTACAGCACTGTTTACAATAGCAAACACTTGGAACCAACCCAATTGCCCATCAATTATAGACTGGATAAACAAAATGTGGCACATATACACCATGGAATACCATGCAGCCATAAAAAAGAATGAGTTCATGTCCTTTGCAGGGACACGGATAAAGCTGGAAACCATCATTCTCAGTGAACTAACACAAGAACAAAAAACCAAACTCTGCATGTTCTCACTCATAAATGGGTGTTGAACAATGAGAACACATGGACACAGGGAGAGGAACATCACATGCTGAGGCCTTTTGGGGGGTGGGGGGCTAGGGGAGGCATAGCAGGTGGTGGGAGGATTGGGGAGCGATAACAATAAGAGAAATATCTAATGTAGATGACAGGGGGACGGATGCAATAAACCACCATGGCACGTGTATACCTACATAACAAACCTGCATGCTCTGTACACCCACCCACACCCCCCACACACACAAAGAAGGAAATAACTTTATTCACAGATGAAATGACTATGTAGAAAACTCATTGGAATCTAAAACAAACAAGCTAATAAGTGAGTTTCTCAAGGCTTCAGGACACAAAGCAATGTACAAAAATAAATTATATATCTATATGCTAGCAATGAACAATCAGAAATTGTAATAAAAAATCAAAACATTAACAATCCATAAAAATATGCAGTATTTTATTATTTAGAAATAAATGTGACAAAATGGTGAAAAAAAAACCGAAACAAATAAAAATGGAAACAAAACATATCAAAACCTATAGAATATAGCAAAACCAGTGCTAAATATGACATTTATTGGGAAAAAAAAAGCCTGTATCTAAAAAGTAGAAAGATTTCAAATAACCAACCTAACAATGTACCTCAAGGAACCAGAACAATAAGAACAAAGCAAACACCAAAACAGTAGAAGGAAATAAATAAAATGTAATACAATTAGATTAATTATAAATTAATACACATTTATTAGAAAGATTATATACAATAATAAAATTTCATAATATATTAATAAATAATAAAAAGCAGAACCAAACAAAATAGAGACTAAAAAACCACAAAGGATCAATGAAACAAATAAAGTAATTTTTTGAAATGGTAAACCACATCAATAAGCCATTAGCAAGACTAAGAAAGAAAAAGAAAAAACCCCAATAAATAGAATCAGAAGTGAAAAAGGACACATTACAATTGATATAACAGAAATACAACAGATCATTAGACTATTATGAACTATATGCTAACAAATTAAAAAACTTAGGGGAAACGGATAAATTCCTGGACACATATAACCTGCCAAGATTGAATCAGGGAGAAACAGAAAACCTGAACAGACCAATGAGTAATGAGATTTAAGAGAAACAGAAAACCTGAACGGTCCAATGAGTAATGAGATTTAATCAGTAATAAAACTCTCCCAACCAAAAAGAGCCCAGGACCAAAAGACTTTATTGCTGAATTCAACCAAACATATAAAGAACTAACAACAATACTTTTCAAACTGTTTCAAAAAATGAAGGGTAGGGAATTCTTCCTAAGTCATTCTACAAGGCCACCATTACCCTGATATCAAAACTAGACAAAGATACAACACGAAAAGAAAACTACAGGGCAATATACCTGAGAAATGCAGATGCAAAAATCTTTAACAAAATGCCAGCAAACTAAATCCAAGAACACAGCCAAAAGACAATACACTATGATCAAGTGGTATTTACCCCAAGGATGCCAGGATGGTTCAACATATACAAATAAGTAAATTAATAAAAACAAAAAGAAGGGACCAAAACTATATGATCATTTCAATATATGCAGAAAAAGCATTTAATAAAATTTGTTCACAATCCCTTCATGATGAAAACTCTCCACCAACTAGGCACAGAAGTACTTCAAGATAACAAAGGCCATACATGACAAACCCATAGCTACCTTATGTGGAATGGGAAAAACATGAAAGCCATTCCTGTAGGAACTGAAATTAGAAAAGAATGCCTAGCTTAACCACTTTTATTCAACACAGTATTGAAAGTCATCCTCACCAGAGCAATCAGGCAAAGAAGAGAAAGAAAAGGCATCCAAATTGGAAAAGAAGTAAAATTGTCCCTTTCTGGAGATGACATGATCTTGCATGTAGAAAAACATAAAGACTTGCCAAAAATAAAAAATCACTTAAAACTGATAAATGAATTCAGTAAACTTATGAGATAAAAAGTTATCATTCAAATATCAGTAGCCTTTTTATATACCAATAATGAACTAGGTAGGTGTAAATAAATCAAGAAAGCAATCCCACTTATAAGAGCTCTAAAAATTATAAAATACCTGGAAATCTATTTAACCAAGGAGGTGAAAGATACCTACAAGGAAAAAAACTACAAAACACTGATGAAAGAAATTGAAGTGGACACAAACAAATGGAAAGACATTCCACGTTCATGAGTTTGAAGAATTAATATGGTTAAAATAACCATACTGCCCAAAGTAATCTACAGATTTAATGCAATCCTTATCAAAATACCAATGACATTCTACTGTGAAACAGAATAAACAATCCTAAAATGTGTAAACAACCACAAAAGACTCCAAATAGCCAAAGCAATGCCAGGCAAGAAGAACAAAGCTGGAGGCAAAACACTACATGACTTCAAAGTATACCACAAAGCTATAGTAACCCAAACAGCACAGTACTGGTAATAAAAACTGACATATAGACCAGTGAAGAACAGAGAACCCCAAAGTAAATCCACATATTTAAAGCAAACTAATTTTGGACAAGGTGCCAAGAACATTCACAGAGGAAAGGACAGTCTTAATGAAATGATGCTGAGAAAAGTAGATAACCATAAGCAGAATGAAACTAGACTGGTATCTCTCACCCTATACAAAAATCAACTCAAAATGAATTAAAGACTTCCAGGTAAAACCTGAAACTATAATATAGAGGGAAACACTTCAGGGAAAGACTTTATGGCCAAGACTTCAAGGTATAAATATTGTGACATTATTGAGGTATAAATAGCACGAATGCAGCCTATTTAAGGTAGTAATGCCCAAATACATTACTCTATAACAGACCAATAAGCTAAGAAAATTATTTCATGACATATTAAGCATACTAGTGGATCATATGTGTATGTGTGTATATAATTATATTTTGATTACACTACAGTAGAACAGGATATTATACAAAATTTTTCATGTGCCAAGTTTTACCTGAGCTCTATATATGTGCTTCCTTAAGGCATGTTTTATTTCAACAACATCCACATCTGTCCTGATATCCATGTTTTTTGATTCTTTGGTATATTCAGCAAAAATAGAATTCTTCATTTCTTTCTGCATATAGCAAAGTAAAATGATTTTAGAAAATGTACTAAAGATAGTGTCAACACAGATGATATTGCAGAGGACAATGTAAGAGGAACACATTCATACCTTGTTAACTACAGCAATGATCTTCACAATCATCTATCAAGATTACGTAATGAAAGAAAAAGCTTGAACAGCAAACATTTTGGCTGGGCATGGTGGTTCATGCCTGTAATCTCAGCATTTTGGGATGCCGAGGCAGGTGGATCACAAGGTCAGAAATTCAAGACCAGCCTGGCAGAGACGGTGAAACCCCATCTCTATTAAAAATACAAAAATTAGCCAGGCATGGTGGCAGGTGCCTGAAATCCCAACTACTTGGGAGGCTGAGGCAGGAAAATTGCCCAGACCCAGGAGGCAGAGGTTGCAGTGAGCCAAGATCATTGTCATGGCACCCCAGCCTGGGTGACAGCGTGACTCTGTCTCAAAAAAAAAAAAAAAACAAAAAACAAAAAACCCAAATGTTTCAATTTGTAAAGAATTAACTGATATTTACATATGTACTTTTCTCTTTATCTTGGTGCAAATCTTTCCTTGAACTGCTTTGTTGTTGTTGCCTTGGTCACACAAAACAACATTCATTACCTATTTACCTTTATCATTTTCCTGAAATCCTTCTGAATATATACATATAACCTGGTATGGTATGGTATGGTATGGTATGGCATAGCATTAATTAATTAATTAGATGGGGTCTCACTCTGTCACCCAGGCTGGAGTGCAGTGCAGATCTTGGCTCACTGCAAACTCTGCCTCCCAGGCTCAAGTAATCCTCCCAATTCAGCCTCCCAAGGAGCTGAGGCTACAGGCACCCACGACCACACCAGCTAATTTTTTGTATTTTTGGTAGAGATGGGGTTTCATCATGTTTGCCAGTCTGGTCTCGAACTCCATGGCTCAGGGAATCTGCCCCGTTGGCCTTGCAGAGTGCTGGGATTACAGGTGTGAGCCCCCATATCCAGCCCATGGCATGGTTTAGATTTTTAAAAAGTCATACTCTAGAGAAAATTTACTCACAAAGGATTCAATTTTAAAAACAAGATCTCATTAAAAATGATCGGTATTATACAAAAGAAAGAGCAAAATAAAAAATTAAATTTACATTAGAAAGTATTACCCAACTATACACACATGTAGTTTTACAGATTTTTTCATTTTAAGAAATAGTCTTTTCCAGTTTCTTTTTCTTATACATTACATTCAGGCAGAACAAATTCGTGGAATATCTTGATTATTAACTCAGATTTCTTTGTGCTTGCTTGTAGAAATACATTTACTGTGGACCAAAGTTAACTATGAATATTATACCAGACTGACTCAAGATTTTTTCATAAAACGTACAGTATCTAGATTAAAGAACAACCAAAAAATTAAAAATAAAGCTATAGCTTAGCTTACAAAGCTTTACCTGATCTCTATAATACATGTGCCTTCTTAAGGTACTTTTAATTTCTTCATGTTCAACGTCTTTTTTGCAATCGCTTTCTTTTTCTTTCTTGCGTTTTCTCCTCAAAGCATAACTCCTTTGAATATCTTCATCTTTTCTCTTAATTTCCTTCTACATGTATTTAGACCAAATTAAATCTCAACATCAACGACATACGTTACCAAATGCAAATAAACTCGAGCAACTTTCGCACAAGTATATACCACATTAAAAAATAAACAAGTACGAACAACAGAAGATTTCATCCATTGACAGAGTAGGTGTACATTAATAAAATATTTTGAAAAAAAGCTGGACACTGCCTAGTACAGTTGAACATGCACAGTCCTTATGACCCAGCAATTCCATTTCCTAGGAATATACCAACTAAGACAGATAAATTACTGAACATGTATACCAAGAGGTATACAAGATATTGTTCACACTATTCATAGCAGAATTCTTCATAATTGCAAAAACCTACCAATCAAACACAAAAACCAACAAAAAGAAGCCTAAAGGCTTATCAACAGTAAAACAGATAAAGATATAATTGTGGCATAGTCAAACAATACAATTTTATATACACCAGCAAAAAAGTCTACAAATAACATAAACTAGCATGTTCACGAATAGACAAAGCTGAACCATATAGGGTTAGGAATACACACATAGCTGTTACAACTATAATGAAAAATAAGAAAAGAATTAACAAAAAGTCTAAGACAAAGGTTACTTCTAAGTAAGAGGGACAAAGGGAATGCATTAGAAAATAATATAACAGGTCTTAAAAAACTGGTAATGCTTTATTTCTTAATATAGATATTGGATACATAAGAACTCATTTTATATATTTTTTAAAGCTGCAGAAAACTATACTACAAACACACATATATTTTTAAAAATTATTTTTAATTTGGAAAGTTTTACCTGATTTTCATATGTATGTCTTCGAAAGGTATTTCTCATTTTAATAAATTTCAAATCTTTACTGGAACCACTGGATTTTTCTTTTTTGTGATGTTCAGTCAAAATAGAACCAACATTAATATCTTCATCATGATTTTGCATTTCTTTCTGTGTGTTTGTAAAGGTAATTTAGTTAAGACTTTGGATTAAATAAAGCCTCATTACTATCAACAGAAGTCACAAAAGAAGAACCCATCCAGGAACATTGGTTTGGTAAAATATACATACAAGGTTAAATATAGTAAAGAGCTCTCTGAATCATATAAGATCAAGCAGAACATAAATGTTTTCAGTTCATAAAGCTTTATAGTATATTAACATATATGCTTAATTTAGTTTACCTACGTACTTAATTCAGATTAAGTAGTATTAAAAATCATGTTGTTTATTCATTATATCAAAATAGCTATTTAAAAAAAAAGATATTTCTTTTTTTTTCTTTTCTTTTCTTTTTTTTGAGACTGAGTTTCGCTCTTGTTACCCAGGCTGGAGCACAATGGCGCGATCTCGGCTCACCGCAACCTCCGCCTCTTGGGTTCAGGCAATTCTCCTGCCTCAGCCTCCTGAGTAGCTGGGATTACAGGCACGCGCCACCATGCCCAGCTAATTTTTTGTATTTTTAGTAGAGACGGGTTTCACCATATTGACCAGGAGGGTCTCAATCTCTTGACCTCGTGATCCACCCTCCTCAGCCTCCCAAAGTGCTGGGATTACAGGTGTGAGCCACCGCGCCCAGCCCCCCCAAAAAAAGATATCTTTACTTGAATTTTACATATATAATTTGTATATATAATCTTGAGTCCTAAAAAGAACTTAAAAAAACATATATACAGTCATTCACTGCTTAATGATGGGGATATGTTTTGAGAAGTACATCGTTAGGTGATTTTGTCACTGTGCAAACATTAGCGTCTACCTACACAAATCTAGATGGTACAGCCTACTACACACCTAGTCTATATGGTATGGCCTATTGCACCTAGGTTACAAATCTTTATGACATGTTACAGTACTAAATACTGTAGGCAACTGCAACACAATGCTGAGTATCAGTGTATTTAAACATAAAAAGGCATAGTAAAATATGGTATTATAATCTTATGAGACTACTGTCATATATGGGGTCCACTGTTGACCAAAACTGTACGTACATGACTGTATATGTATTTTAATATTTTCCATTTCTTTTATAAAATCTCCATTTTATTCTTCTGCCATGTTTATTCAAAACTAAATTTATTTTAATAACTCCATAATTTTATATTTCTTTCTATATGTAAAAATGCTATATACTGTGATTCACAATGCATATTTCACAAGAGGCACGACAACTCAAAAAAGCTTCTCATTAAAGCATGCACATATAGTAAATTACAAAAAGTAGTCTTATAAGTCACATAAATATCTACATACATTGAAAAAGTCAGAACAAATGCAAAAATATTTTAAGTTTAAAAACGTGTGGGAAATACGGGAGGGACAGTGGGGAGTGGGGAGTTGGGGGAGAGATAGCATGGGGAGAAATGCCAGATATAGGTGATGGGGAGGAAGGCAGCAAATCACACTGCCATGTGTGTACCTATGCAACAATCTTTCATGTTCTTCACATGTACCCCAAAACATAAAATGCAATTTAAAAAAAAAGAATGAAAATATTGTGGCAAATCTTGCCACATACAATTTCTTAGGAAACTGTGCAATTTTAAAAGTTCCAAATTACTCCTAGAATTATTTTTCAAAAATACTTGACAGATATGGGAAAAATTATTTTGAATTTTTTTCCTGCTTATACATAAAACTTTTAGTTTAGACTAATTATCAGGTGAATAATTTGATAAATTAACCGAGTAGACTGCTTTATTAAACACAATATGAAACTGAACATAACTGAATATCAACTCTTCTAGAGCAGAAATTATAACGTCCTTTTTGTGGTTTCTACTGCTGTTTGAAAAATTGTACTTGAGGGCCACCATATATGCTTTCTTGAGGTACTTTTCATTGCTCCAAGTTCAAAGTCCTTTCTGTTTAATTGTTTTACAAATCAGTCAAAATAGAATTCACTTGTATATTTTAAATTTTATTCTATATACAGTTAAATACTTGAATTTACATGAATTATAAATACATATTGTGATCTCAGGTAAGAAAATGCTTTATAAAACACACGTTACCTAAACATACCAGAGTTTTTAAGTAATTACCATTAATTATACACTATGTATAAGGAACTCTGTATTTCTATATGAATACAAGCATTACTTCAGGAAGAGTTCCAAAACAGAGACATAGGACAATTTCCTAACATGCTCAAGCCACAGACTATAAACACATGGTTCAAACACCAGCCTTCTGATTCCAGTATCTGGTTTTTTTCCACTATACTTTGCCTCTCAAACAATTCTGTAAGAAACATGAGAAATGTACATTTTCAGCCTATAAAGTTTACCTGGGTTCTATACATGGTCTCTCTTAAGGCACCTTTCATTTCAAGAAATCCTGCATCGTCCCTGAAATCTTTGTTTTTTTCTTCATTGCTATGTTTGGTCCAAACAGAACTGGTTTGAGAATCTTCATCATTCTGAATTTCTTTCTGTATGTACGTAAAAATGGTTTAGGCAATCATCTAAGTGTATTTTCAACATCATGTACTTTATACAGTATTCAACTTTAATTACATAATACTTTGTCAAATAAGTAGGTAAATGCACCCTCTTAAATCAAAAGTTACTAAACATGGATAAAAATCTTTCAGGGAAAAAAATCATTATAGCAAAGGTCCTGAAAAAAGTGTTTCTGCATATCTCAAGAAAAGCCAATGCTTTGCTGATCTACTAACAACCAATTATTTTTACAAATAACCAATAACAAAAATATTTTATCTAGTCCCTATCCAAGTTAAAGTTACAATATAGATTTTAAAAATCATCAATTATAGATAAGACTTTTTCTTGCATTATTTTTCAGTTTTTTACTGGTAAGACTTCTCACTTGCAAGTATACCCCACACAGAGAGGAAAAGGTTACACAATACTCTTACTTGAATAGCAATAAACAACAATTATCGTAATCTAGCTCTATCTCAAATGACTAAATTTCTCTTGCCAAGGAACCAAAACTGAATTCAGAAATCAACTTCCAATAATTATTTTAAAATTTCTTGCATATGCACTTACACATATTATTCTGTAAGCTTAGCAATATAAAGATCTGGGAGTAAAAGTGAGTTCATGACAGTTCCCAAAATGTAATTATGAAAGGCTGTTCAGGCTGGCTGGAGTGGCTGATGCCTGTAATCAGCACTTTGGGATGCTGAGGCAGGTGGATCACAAGGTCAGGAGATCAAGACCATCCTCGCACATGGTTAAACCCTGTCTCTACAAAAAAAATACATAAATTAGCCGGGTGTGGCAGTGTGCACCTGTAGTCCCAGCTATTTGGGAGAGTAAGGCAGGAGTATTGCTTGAACCCGGGAGGCAGAGGGTGCAGTGAGTCAAGATTTCACCACTGCACTCCAGCCTGGGCAAGAGAGCGAGAAAAGAGAAAAGGAGGGGAGGGGATGGGAGGGGAGGGGAGGGGGTGAGGGGGTGAGGGGAGGGGAGGGGGTGAGGGGCGGGGAGGGGGGAGGGGGGAGGGGGGGAGGGGATGGGGGAGGTGGGGAGGGGAGGGGAGGGGGGAGGGGATGGGAGGGGGGAGGGAGGGGAGGGGAGACGAGACAGAAAGACAGCACCATAGAAACATGAAAGGAAGGAAGGAAAAATAAAGAAAGAAGGAAAGAGAGAAGGAAGGAAAGATGGAAGGAAAGAAGCAAAGATAAGGAAAGAAAAAGAAAGAAAGAAAAGTAAAGAAAAGGCTGGCCATTCAGAGATTTACTACCTCTACCCAAAGAGACTGGAGAATCACAGTCTTCCTAGGGAACAATTATAAAAAAACAAAATGTCTTAAGGTCTATAATGTGATCTTTTTTTCCCCACTCACTTGCCCTTGGCTTCCTATGTTAAAATGAGGGCCACTCTTTTAGCAGGCTGAAATTCTGAAACCACAGAATAATCCCTGAGAATAGCTGATTGAATTTCTTTTTCAGCAACTCAGAAAGATGAAATTAAAAACTAAGAAAATAAATATTTTTCTCCCTTCCTATTACTGGGACCAAAGAATGTATCAACAACAATTTCTGTTAAGGACAACTTGCAGCGGGGGAGGGAAATGAGTTTCTGGTTTTAAATTTCACATGGTTGGCAATGGGAGGACAAATCCATAGGCTCAGGTCCTCAAAAAATGTCCAGAATACAGGATAAATTAATCCCATATACATTCTCATTATAGAGAATGCAAAGGAACATACCAAGGGAATATGGTGGTATCGTAAAAGTTTGTTTTATCAACAGCAATAAAGCAAAAAATAAACTGTTTCCTAATTCAATATACTTACTTATGTGCCTATTTCAGATGCTACATATGAATCTGTAAATATGACACAAGTATCCTATATAAGTCAACTATTTAAAAATTACAACCTGATACAGGGTTAGCATTTGAAGTTTTGAAATTAAATAATCTATTTTCTATATAGCTAAACTAATGATCCACATATATTTTTTCCTAAGCCACTAATACTTTGTCTTAATGGTGACTCTTATGAAAAATATACAGCAATTATTTTATTTAACTATAAATATTCAATTTTATTCATTATAAGTATCTTAGTGCCAACTTATATACTAGGCACTGGGTTAGGTAGTTGTCTCCTTTTATAATCTCAGAAAGACAGTCCAAGACCAGTATACATATCTACTATAGTATACATAAACCACAGTATAGTGCTATGCACTAAAGGATAACTAAAAGCCTGCTTAATCAGCTACTTATTCTATTATCTAGGAGTAGGGCAACACAGTTGGGGCAATGACAGTTGGCTTTCGATTCTGATATTTGGCTTAGTTTCCTGTCTTGGGATAGGTATAATTGATATACTCTGGTCTCCAGGTCTTATTCCAATATTCAGCCAAAGCATCTGTCATACAACTTGAATGAACTGATTAGACCAGATGCATAAGAAGACGAAGAGCCAGATAAATCAAGAAAGGGAGTCCTCTCAGTGCTACTTGGTTCTTAACTTGTACTTATACCCTGATGCTTAAATGGTATTTCATAATCCTATAATGAGATATTCGTTTAGGTATCGATTACAGCATTTATTATTTTTTAACTACTTGCAAAGAGACTGGAATCTAATAATACTCAAATTAGGGAGACAAAAAGGATCACGGAAAGGAAGATTTGAGGAAAGAAGCCTTAAAATTGACTGAGTGGTTGGCTTTAAATTTCTGCTCTGATAAATGACAGCTGTGGGATCTTGGGCAAGTTACTTAACCTCATTTTTTCCTCAAAATTTATTCTGATCAGTAAATGGAGTCATAATATACACTACACACGAACATGAGGTTTAAATTAGATTGAGCATGTAAAATGTTTAACATAGTACTTGAACCACAGTAACCATTCACTATTACCTCAAATGGTTGTAATAATTCTCATAACCACCAAAACAACGTAACATTAGCTTCTACACAAAGGGAGAAACTAAGGCACTCAATAAATGACTCTACTGTGGTCACAGTACTACATTATAAATCTGTGTCACAAATTAATCTGGCTCAAAAAGTCTACAGTGTTTCTGTTATTCCTAATATATTCCTGTAAGACTGTTGTAGTTCATTTTTCTTTCTTAAGTAGTCAAGATAAGTTTTTAGTATTCCTAGGTAGCCTCCCATTTTTATGAAACCTTCCTTGGGCGAAATAATTTATTTGTGTTAGTCATTTGTTCCTCTGTATTTCTGTACCTTTTACACAGTTTTACAAATCCGCAATTCATATGAATTGCAAGTAACAGTGTCCACACTCTTTCTACATCACTAAATAGCAAGCTTCTCAAAGTGTGACATATGATCTTATTCATTTTCATATGCCTAGTGCATTGCATAATGCCTAGTACAGTAATAGTCTTCAATAAATATCTATAAACCTGAACTAAACAGATTTTGAATTCTGATATACTCAGAAGCTTTTCAAAAAGTTTAAGAGGGTTAAAACAATAATGTTACTTTTTTTTTTTTTAAACAGACAAGGTCTCACTCTGTTACTGAGGCTGGCGTGCAGTGGCACAATCAGTTGAGCGTACTGCAGCCTTGCCATCCTTGGCTAAAGGAATCCTGCCTCAGCTTCAGAGCAGCTAGGACTATAGATGTATGCTACCGTACCCAGCAAATTTTAAAATTTTTTGAGATATGGAGTCTTGCTACATTGCTTGGCTGGTCTCAATCTCCCAGCCCCAAGTGATCCTCCTGCCTCAGCCTCCTAAAGTGCTGGGATTACAGAACCTCCACACCTGGCCTTATGGTTACTGTAACTCAGTCATTTTACATGGCAACTCTTTTAGATGACACTTCAAAATACATCTAATGAGGATTATAATATAATCTATACCAAAGAAAAGCAAGATACTGAAATAAAGTTAACTTAAGTGATCACAATATGCCTTTCTTATTTGGATTGGTTAAGAACTGCCAGCCATTTGGTCCAGAACTTATAAAGCAATGTATTCTAAAACCAAATATAAGTTAGAGATTATCTGCTATTTTGGTTGATATACTCTTGCTGCCCACCACTATTTCAGCAGCTAGATATGAATGTTGTTAGAACATTGGAAAATAAGATCGTAGACAATGCACAGTATATGTTACACTTTAAGCATTATTTCCCAAAGAAAATTAATATACCATTACTAATCTAGTCAAAAACACCTTTCATTCTATTCATAGCTAATACTACATTTAAACTATTCAGAAAAGTCTATCAGATAGTATGCTTTTGGCTGTAAATAACAGAAAACCAACCCAAACTAACTTAAACAACATGGAAATGAATCACCACACAGAAGAGCAATGTGGTCTAATGTGGTAAAACAGGTTTTAGTGTTGGTTCAGCAACTTAAGTAGCGGTCAGAGTCCACATTCTATCACTACACTCTCCTAACTACAGGGCTGGTTTCATTCTAAGGCTATTTCTCTTCAAGGTTAAAGAATGCCTTCCAGTAGTAACTCAGGTTACATTCTTCTGTGTTCTTATCTAGCAGGAGTCAGCCCATCAGTAACTCTCTTCTTAGAATAAAAACAACTTCCTAGAAGCTCTTACATACTTTTCTTCATGACCCATTGATCAGAATTGGTTCACAGGCTCATTCCTAACTAATGACTGTCAAGGACAATGAGATTATCCATAGTCCAAGCAGATCCATTCTTTGAACTAAGGTCAAATTTCCAACATACATTGCTGCTACTCATTAAGGAAAGGCAATTATATAATGATACATTATAGGTATTTTTGGAAGACTCAAACATCTTTCATAAAATCTCTATTAACAAATATTGAATGAGAACCCATGTGCCAGGTTGTTTGTGAGGTGATCAGAATATAACAATGGAAAAGACAGACGTGATGCCTGATGACAAGGAGTTTTTGGTCTACCTGGGGAAAGAGACATTAACCAAGTAATCAGTAAATTACTTAACTGTAATTGTGCTGAGTACCAAGCAAAATAATGCTATGAGAACACATAGGTGAACCTCACTGAGTAAAGGGAACAAGAAGACTTCCCTCTAGAGTAACATAACAGATCCTGAAACATAGGCAGAAGGTAGGAAGACCCAGAGAGTGAAAGAGTAGTGGAAAATAACCTTTCAGGAGGAAAAAATATCTTTTGAGAAGACACTGAGTTGGGAGTTGCTTAGCTTATTTAAGAAACTGGGAGGAGTTTTCATGTATACAGCATAGTAAGCATAGATAAGAGTGAAGCAAGATATAATTGAAAAGACAGGAATGACAGGAATCCTATGAGAACTTGTAAGCCATATTAGATATTTAGGACTTTGTCCTAAGGGCAATGGGAAGCCATTGAAGGGTTTTACATAGGCGAGTAGTGACAGGATCAATACTGTTTTAAGAGCATTTTGATTGCTTTTTCTGAATGAACTAGAATATACTAAAGGAAAAGTTAAGAGTAACTAGGAAATTAGAGTAAAAAGGTAGAGTAACAGGAAGTGTAATCAGAAGCCTATTCCAAGAGTGGAGAGGAAAAATTATAAACTCAGTATGATGTTAGTAGAGAAGGACAGAAGTAGTTTGATTCCAGAATTATCTGAGATAAAATCAATAAGACTTAGTAGTTGACAGATGAGAGGAGTAAAGGGAAGAAAGATTTTAAGGATAATTCCCAGATCTCTGATATAAAGTATTAGATAAAACATATCTGTAGATATGGTATCTACAAAATGGGAAACACTGAAGATGATTTTTCCTATATGAAGGTCATTTTTGGACATACCAAGGGTTCTCTTCTACCCTGAGTGCTCAAAATTCTTCTTTGCTTATCTCCTGGACAGTTCTTCTAGGGTTTGATTACCATTCAGACAACTTGAGGAACATTATTTGTACCAAGTCAGGAGGAGAACGTAGGGGAATAGGACAGGACAATATTTCTAAACCCTTAGAAATAGCTCTCTCTTCTTCAAAGGAAAAATAACCCCCAAATTCTCATATAATACTATATAATACTATCTATTCTACTATTTTATTTATACTCTGACTTAAAATACTTAAAACTATTTTGTCCTACTTATCACTAAAGCACTGAAAACAAAAGCAGAGACTCAAAATAAATGTTAAATTTAACAAGTTTCTTTCAAATCTATAGAAGTACTCATATTTAAGTAATTGAGAGCCACTGCCTTTCAAAAGTGTCATTTAAATTACTATCAATATATTTTCAAAAGTTAGAACACTTTTATATTTTGCTATACTGATATTTTATAAAATAAACACATGAAATGAAATAAAATGTTTACTATTTTTTTTACTTACCTCTAAAAGAAAATCCCCTAGATACTGAATTGGATAAAATGGAGCCTTAAAATTATCCTTTTCTTTCTCAGCTTTAATTCTTGCATTACTGGCAATCACATGAGTAATTCCACTTGGTGAACTTTTTGGTAAAATAATATTTGCTTTTCCAGCCTCCAAAACTCTAAGTAAAAATATAAATAATATAAAAGTATTAGAAAATTTGAGTTTATTTGGTCAAATTATCTAAATTATTTCTTAGGAGTAGGAATGAAATTTTCTAATAGAGACTAATTTCTTTGGGCAATTGAGGATCACAGAGAATACTGCAGTAATTTCTTAAATTATAAACTGTTCAGAGTAGATATTTTAAAAAATCATGCTTAGTCTTTTTACCTATCCATTTCTTGATAAAGGAAAGGCTTTTAGGGACTAAGAATACTAAAGTATTCCCTAAGGAAAAGTCATGTCAGTAAACCAAATGGATAATGAAAGAAGTCTAAGGAAGCAGCTATCCTCAAAGGTAACATACCCCTAAGAAAGTAATTCTGGACCACAAAATATGAAACCTGTTGCAAACACTCCTAAGAAGTTAGCTTTCAAAAAAATTTTTGCCTTGAACTACTTTTAAAAAAATCTAGCCTTGATCTATATTAAGAAATACATTTTATAAAATTAAAAAATTAGAAAAACAAATTAAAAAATACATTTTACATTTAGACTACGAAGATACGCACAAGCAGAGACATATATCACAAAAGTTTTATGAAGTTCTGCTTCTGCTTAGGCTTTAGAAAGCCATAAGAGAATGTGGCTATCACGTAACAATAAGAAAAACTCAAATAATCTACAAAATCTTAACCTTTATTGAGGCCATCAGAGAACTGAGGTAATAAGTCAACCAAGTAAGCTGATTTCTGACAAGTGGTAAACCCTTTTATGAAGAGACTGGACACCCAAACTATTTCACTTTTGGCAGATCAAAAGAGCAACATAGCTGACATAAAAACATGTAAGAAGTAAAATTTACAAAATTTAAGGGCCAAGTATAGATAGCATCACAGTCTAGAAAATTGGAAGTCCCTGACACAAGGGAAGCTTGTATTCACTAGCAAGCTCTTTGCCACATAACTCCATTAAATGCTCATGAAAAAGGCTGAGGGCAGATTGAGGAAATGCAGGGAGCTCTCTTTGACAGCACTGAGTGGGCCAGTGGGGACTGGCTGCCATTAACAGATAGACATAAAACCAGGCCCACTTCTCCATATAATTCTCCTTCTCTCATATAAAGCAAAAGCCTTAAATCATTTGGGTAAGAATAAGACAGTCTTTTTCCCTCAGACCCAGGAAAAGATGCACTGCTTCTCTTGGAGGGCTAGAAATAAACCTTATCTGTCCTTGGGGAAGGGTTAGGAAAACCTCTTGCAGCCCAGCCTGGGAAAAATGCCCAGTTTCTGAATGAGGGATAGAAGCAAAAACCATCTTCCCTTAAGGAACAGGAAGAATGCCACTTAGGTCCCAGATCTTGTATCAATACACAGCAAAGATCTAATACTGGGGGAGAGACTGGAAACTCTCTTGCCCAGGACTCTGCCTACATGTACAAGGCAGAATTTAGCTGCCACAGAAGGCTGATAAACAAATGCTGAGAAAGCCCCAACCCCGGGGACCAATAATACAGAAAATGTTTAAGGGTGAAGCTTGTCTAGCAAAACTGAGAATATATCCAACCACACCCCTGGCCTGAAGCTGAGTAACAACAGAGAAAGGATGAGTATGAAGAGACCTCTTCTGTGACCCTTTAGTACAGTAACTGTTGAAAGCTAGGGCAGAGCAAGAATAGTGATAAGAAACCCTCCAGCATTCCAGTCCAGTCCCCATAACAAGCACAAAGAAACTGGAGCCCACTGCTATAAGCTGAAATGATGCATTGAAGAATTAACAATACTCAAATTCAGCAGTCTTGTCAGTTTTCTGCAGCTATAACGGAATACTGAAGACTTGGCAATTTATAAGAAAAGTTTTTATTCTTGGACTTTCAGAATCCCAAGAGCATCTGATGAGGACCTTCCTGCTACATCACTCCATGGAGATAAGAAGAAGTGCAAGAGAGACCATATGAGAAAAAGCTTACTTTTATAACCAAGCCATTCCCATGATAATGACATTAATTCCTTCTTAAAGGCCCCACCTCCCAATACCATCACAATGGCAATTAAATTTCAAGATGAGTTTTGGGGGTGGGGGTGACATTCACCATAGCACCAGCTCAACAACTGACAAGATTAATTCAATAACCCATACTAACTGCCTTACAGAAGAGGTAGGCCTATTTTTTGGATATAAATATTATTCACATCAGCCTCTATAATTCTTGTACATGTGATATCTGGCATGTAATAAAAAATATAAAACATACAAAATAGGCAAGAAGAAAACTAAATCATTGTCAAGAGAAAGAAATCAACAATATAAACTGAAATATGACCCACATGTTGAAATTATCAGAAAATTTTAACATAACTGTGACTGATGTGTTAAATAAACTAAGGAAAAAAGTGGACAACATACTTGAAGAAATGAGGTTAACTGGAGAGTTCAATGGAAAGAGTAGAAATAAGAGACATTATATTAAAGAAGAATTTCTTTGACAAGCTCATCTGCAGACTAAACACAACTAAAAAAGGAATCACTGAATTTTAAGACAGGTCAATAGAATTATCTTAACTAAAATACAAAAATTATCTAAAAAAAATTTAAAAAATTCAGAAAAAACCCAAGCCGATTGCAAAAGCAAATCAAAAAACTTATTCATCATGATCAAGTAGGATTCATCCCGGGGATGCAAGGATGGTTCAACATACGCAAGTCTATCAATGTAATTCACCACATAAACAGAACCAAAAACAAAAACCACATGATTATCTCAACTGACGCAGAGAAGGCATTTGACAAAATTCAACAGCCCTTTATGCTAAAAACCCTCAATAAACTCGGTATCGATGGAACGTATCTCAAAGTAATAAAAGCTATTTATGACAAACCAACAGCCAATATCATACTGAATGGGCAAAAACTGGAAGCATTCCCTTTGAAATCTGGCACTAGACAAGGATGCCCTCTCTCACCACTCCTATTCAATATAGTACTGGAAGTTCTAGCCAGAGCAATCAGGCAAGAAAAAGAAATAAAGGGTATTCAAATAGGAAAGGTGGAAGCCAAATTGTCTCTATTTGCAGACGACATGATAGTATACCTAGAAAACCCCATCGCCTGAGCCCAAAAACTCCTGAAACTGATAAGCAACTTCAGCAAAGTCTCAGGATATAAAATCAATGTGCAAAAATCACAAGCATTCGTCTACACCAATAACAGACTTAAAGAGAGCCAAATCAAGAACGAACTGCCATTCACAATGGCTACAAAAAGAATAAAATACCTTGGAATACAACTCACAAGGAATGTAAGGGACCTCTTCAAGGAGAAGTACAAACCACTGCTCAATGAAATCAGAGAGGACACAAACAGATGGAGAAACATTCCATGTTCATGGTTAGGAAGAATTAATATCGTGAAAATGGCTATACTGCCCAAAGTAATTTACAGAATCAACGCTATCCCCATCAAGCTACCATTGACTTTCTTCACAGAACTGGAAAAAACCACCATGAACTTCATATGGAAACAAAAGAGAGCCCGCATAGCCAAGTCAATTCTAAGCAAAAAGAACACAGCGGGGGGCATCACACTACCGGATTTCAAACTAAACTACAAGGCTACAGTAATCAAAACAGCATGATACTGGTACCAAAACAGAGATATAGACCAATGGAACAGAACAGAGGCATCGGAGGCAACACAACATATCTATAACTATATAATCTTTGATAAACCTGACAAAAACAAGCAATGGGGAAAGGATTCCCTGTTTAACAAATGGTGTTGGGAAAACTGTCTAGCCATGTGCAGAAAGCAGAAACAGGACCCCTTCCCGACACCTTACACTAAAATTAACTCCAGATGGATTAAAGACTTAAACATAAGACCTGGCATCATAAAAACCCTAGAAGGAAATCTAGGCAAAACTATCCAGGACATAGGAGTAGGCAAGGACTTCATGAACAAAACACCAAAAGCATTGGCAACAAAAGCCAAAATAGACAAATGGGATCTAATGAAACTCCACAGCTTCTGCACAGCAAAAGAAACAGACACTAGAGTGAATCGGCAACCAACAGAATGGGAAAAAAATTTTTGCAGTTTACCCATCTGACAAAGGGCTGATATCCAGAATTTACAAAGAACTCAAACAGATTTACAGGAAAAAAACAAACAAGCCCATTCAAAAGTGGGCAAAGGATATGAACAGACACGTTACAAAAGAAGACATATATGAGGCCAACAATCATATGAAAAAATGCTCATCGTCACTGGTCATCAGAGAGATGCAAATCAAAACCACATTGAGATATCATCTCACGCCAGTTAGAATGGCGATCATTAAAAAATCTGGAGACAGATGCTGGAGAGGATGTGGAGAAAAAGGAACACTTTTACACTGTTGGTGGGAGTGTAAATTAGTTCAACCATTGTGGAAGTCAGAGTGGCGATTCCTCAAGGCCTTAGAAATAGAAATTCCATTTGACCCAGCAATCCCATTACTAGGTATATATCCAAAAGACTATAAATCGTTCTACTATAAGGACACATGTACACGAATGTTCATTGCAGCACTGTTTACAATAGCAAAGACCTGGAATCAACCCAAATGCCCATTGATAATAGACTGGATTGGAAAAATGTGGCACATATACACCATGGAATATTATGCTGCAATCAGAAATGATGAGTTTGTGTCATTTGTAGGGACATGGATGAATCTGGAGAACATCATCCTCAGCAAACTGACACAAGAACAGAAAATGAAACACCGCATATTCTCACTCATAGGCGGGTGATGAAAAATGAGAACACATGGACACAGAAAGGGGAGTATTAAACACTGGGGTCTATTGGGGGGAAAAGGGGAGGGCCAGTGGGAGGGGGTGGTGGGGAGGGATAGCCTGGGGAGAAATGCCAAATGTGGATGAAGGGGAGAAGGAAAGCAAAGCACACTGCCATGTGTGTACCTACGCAACTGTCTTGCATGCTCTGCTCATGTACCCCAAAACCTAAAATGCAAAA